GTAACCAAAAAGCAAAGCCCCAAGAGCTGGGAAGAGAAACCTGCAATAAATGTCTTCTTGGTATGACTCATGTGCAAACCAAACATTTGCTTTTTTTTTTTAAAAGAAACGTCGACAATATTCTGTTAATAGCAATCACAATCTTTGTGTGACCACAGTTGGTGGTGCTATGACTATCTAACAATAACAAACGACAGAGCTCACAAGGGAATGGCTGCAAGAACAGAGTAGTCTTCTGGACTGTGGTGTTTCTCCTTAACCAAAGGTTCTTCGACCGAGCTAGTCCCACCTGAAGATTAGTCACTAACCTACACAGAAAAACCAATTTCAGATCTCATGCTTACAAATTTGAGATCTCAGTTAAGCTGAGTTGCACATATTACATGGAAATTCAAACTAATTTTCGAACCCTAAGAAGAAAGAATTAAAATCTAACCTACATATTGCATTCACGACTTGCTAAATCCCTCAATAAACAGAACCTAGTGCATTTTTTTGTTGGTGAAACGGAGAAAAGAGGAGAGAATATCAAACAAAGATGTGTAAAAAGCAGAATTTTGAACTGTCAATAGCAGAAGTGTTGAGCTGCAGCGGAGCGGAGATGCTGGCTGCATTGGACGCAGAATCTCGCAACACACTCTCTGGATAAGGCCTTTGCTGGACCTATTGACCATTCAACGCAGAAATCGGCAGGCTAAGAAGATTGATCATTTGTATCCGATACCATCTCTGAAGCTTCGAACTGACATGGACTGCATTGGAAACGGCCATAGATTTTGAGTTATAACATCAATCTCTGAAATACACACACACAGCCCCGTTCAAACCTTAGAGATGAGAAATCAAGCAGACAAAAAAGGCTCATGATGCGATGAAGTAGAAACACATTGTCTATGATGATTGAATTGAAAATAAATGCTAAACTCACAATACCTAAAGACAAAGTTGGGATTCTTAGATGTGCCAAAAGGGAGATCTCTTTTGCATTGATCTTTTGGTAGCAAGTAATTTCGATTTGGTCAGCCTATCCATCCTCCAACTTACGCTTCTGAAATCGGAGTGATTCATGTACATTAGAACATGGATAAGTGAATTCAATATGTGTTTGAGGAAGATCTGAAAAAACTGTAAGTTGAAGTGAATGAGAAAACTAAAGGCGAAGAAGGTCCAGTTTCTCTAAATCTCGCAAAAAAAAAATTACAGCCAACCAGAGGTCGACACGTGTCGAAAAACCCCCATATCAAAAAAGGACGTGGCATATGTTAACTTTATTATTATAGATAGATATAAACAAAAAAGCTCGTTGTCAAAAAAAAAAAAAAAGCTATTTATTGAGAAAAAACTTTAATCCTTAATCCTGAATTTAATTTAAAAAAAATTCAAATACTAACATGTTTTCAAATGAAACATGCTCAACCACTTGGAATTAATCAAAAAGAAGAAGAGAGGCTGAGCCATATCTAAAGACGATCATGAAAACTATCCGGATTTGCTCGTGGCTCCTTCTTTTGAAGGAGCAAGTAATGAGTTTCGTGTGTTGTTTCAACCGCAATAATGTTTCCATGTGAACTTTTGGCTTCTGATTCCGGTTCGCTCCGCCTCCTCTTGCTAGGTCCATACCTCTTACTCTCGGAGAAGGGGACTCGGTCCTTGGCTTGACTCCCTTGTTTATGCTACCTATGGTTAGCTAGGGGGTGTAGTTCTAAGTTCTCTCTAGCTGCTTCTGGGTATTTAGAGACTGTTTGTGCTCTATACGATTGTTTGGTGTGTGTGTATCAGCTTTTCAAACGATGACTACTGGTGTCTCCCTTTTGGTGTGTGTGTATCAGTTTTTCAGTGGTCACAATTAATTATTCAGTGTCATAGAAACATATGGAAGCGCATTTTTTATATTGTTCGTAATTAAAAATCAAAATGCTCAGAAAAAAATGGAGCCATCACACAGTAGTCTTACAGAACACAATATGAAAATGAAAAACATAATCCAACTATCCAAGTCAACAACACAACACACTCCACAAAGGTAATAAGTTTGTAAAGGAAAAGTAATGACACAATAATGATACAACACACTCCACATGACAAAATAGCAAGAGATTGAAAGCCAAAACATCAGAAGAAGATGGGTGTATTGTCAATCAGACAGTGAGGAATCCCAATCCAGAGTAATGGATGTTTAGCGCTAAAGAATACCAAAAACATAAAGCAAAGTTAGTGACATTAATTTGAACGGATTGAAATTGAAGGCATAGTATATTCTGAAAGCAAATGGATCATATCAGTCTACGCTAACCTAGAGTGAAAAGAGAATAAGAGAAATAGTTACCTCCCTAATTGATGTCAAGAAACGATTTTTGGTATCTTCGTCCTCCCATTCAAGCTCAGTTTCCTGTTCTCGAGAACGGATTACTATTGAAAGCTCATCAACTCGTGATACACTTGTGGCATTTAAGGGAAGCTTTCTCAGCTTTGGACAGTCTATTTTCTCTAAGCGTCTCAAAAATGGAAAGGGAAGAGGTCTCCAGTAGATACTCACCATCTTAGGCAACCTTCTCAACGATAACTCTTCTAGTTTCCAAAAAGGTGAAATACCAATAACCTTTGCTGCTTTCTCTTTGTTTATAATTTCTTCCACTTCTGATTTTTCGATTCGCAGGACGGAAAGATTTGCAGCAAACAATAACATAGTCAAATCCTTAACTCTAGTGGAGTTACGTATATACACGACAGAGAGGTTGGTGAAGCATGGAATTGTCGAATGGTGTAAATCCAGACTGTGTAAATCAGACGAGTCTCTCTCACTACCTCCGCAGTTCGTATTGGAGACATGAATACTTGTTACCCTGACCTCTCGAAGATTCTCCATGTTCACAAGCAACGATAGAATACATGACTTTTGTTGAAAGCCATGAATATCCAGATCATAGATGCAGTTCACCAACCTTTGATCTTTTAATATTCTCTCCAACCCCAGCTCTGTAGATACGTCTATGGTTAGAAGTTGTAGATGCTCTAAGAGCTGCAGCTCCTTCAATAAATTATCATCTCCTTGAACATTAGAATTAAGAAGTTTCAAACTTTTTAAACTTGACAACTTTGATATCCCATGTATACTACAAAGCATCCATGTACGAGTCAAATTTAGGTGAGTTAGCCTTTTCAATTCTTGGAAACCAACAGGTAGTTGCTTTATATTTGTATCAGACAGGTCAAGATACTGCAAGGAGGTCAGCTCTGATATCTGCTCTGGAAGTCCACTTATTTGGTAATTATCTGACAGATCCAAAACAACTAGCTTCTGCTTATATTGGATAAACTCACCTGAGAGACTTTTCAAACTATTATTCTGGAGGAGCAGAGTTGTAAGTTCTGAACACTTGGAACCGCAAGTAATCTCTTCAATCTTATTACCCATTAATGACATCCTTCTCACAGCTTCCCAATCATTGACTTCTGGCACTTTATGTAATCCGAGTCTTGCTTGCACAACAAAATTCTCTCTTTTTTTCCCCAAATCAGATGCAATCCATATAGCCATTTCACGGACCACATCATGCATTACAACAGTTGTTGTATTAACTTCTGTCAGTAAATTTGCATGGATAAGGGTACCAAGTACCCCATAACCCTTATTAATTGCTCTTTTTAAATCTTGGTACTCGCCGGTGAATCCTTCGCATATCCAGTACTCTATTAACCTTTCTTTGTTTATTCGACCATCTTCTGGAAACAGAGCACAATAGAGGAAACATGCCTTGATCTGTTCATTCACCAATTTATCATAGCTGTACTTCAGAATTGGAAGAATTTCATCTTCCATGTCAGAAAACTCAGAAGCGGATCTAGTCAAAACATAGATTGCATCCTCCCATTCTTGTACCGTAGTTTTAGATGCCATTGTCTCGCCAATGACACTAAGCGCTAGTGGCAAACCATGACATTTATCAGCAACCTTCTTAGCAAGGCGGTCAATGCGGGGCTCTCTTCTTAACTTTTCATCACCTATCTTGAGTTTAAATAATTACCATGCTTGATCTTCTTTCAAACACTTGACTTGCATCGGTTCATGATCTCCCATCCTCACACAAACTTCCTTAGAGCGGGTGGTGAATGCTACTTTGCATCCATTTACTCTGGTCGGTTCGGGAACTCCTATGGCTTCTAAATCTACTTTTTCCCATATATTATCTAGCATCAGCACAAATCTCTTCCTTTTTAAGACTCTGTGTATCTCTGCGGCTTTATCATCTTCAGTTTTGTTTGTCCATTCGTAGTCACAAAGGTGTAGCTTCTTTGCAATATCTTGTTGGAGCTTTGAAATATTTGCGCCTTGAGACACTACTACCCATATCACCATGTCAAACTTTCCAGCTATTTCAGCGAACTTATTGTGGATTCTCTGAAAAAGAGTAGTCTTCCCTACGCCACCCATACCGTGCAAACCCATGATTCCGACGTTATCATCCATAAGTCGTTTCCATGCCTCGTCGAGCATTTCCTCCTGACCAACCGTACGCCGTGTAGGCCTCTCCTCGACTTGAGGTTTTGGAATCAACTCAGTAACCTCCTCAAAAGTAGCCTCTGATTTGAGTTTTCTAACATTTTCCAACAACAAGAATACACGTTTCCCAAATTTGTAGGTCAAACACACATTTTTTGAGCATAAACTACAGAAGCACAGCTTTTGACGTTGAGTGGTACTAGTACTAACCACATTATTGATCTTTGTATCGATGCTCTCGACACGTGTAAGCCATAACTTGACAGATTCAAGTCTTTGTCGATGTTGTGTCTCCTCTCGTGCAACCCCGTTCTTCACCTGTTGTTGAATTGCTTTGAGATCATCCCTTTCTCTCTGCAGATCCTTGAGATTCTCCTCGAGGTTTCGAATAAAACCTTTACCACATAAGCATCGAATGATATGGTTTACCGATTGATCACAAGAAAATTGAAAAGTCACACAATTTCCCATGGAGATAGAATGCGACTAAGCTGAAGAAGTGTTTTAGATGAAATACATTTTGCTTATGATTAGTTAAATTTAGATCCACTTTGCGTTTACAGTTCCGTTTACTTTCGATGCAACTATGTTTTTAAAAATAATTAGCTCAATGAATAATCGTCCACTTGTGTTTCAAAAAAAAAAAGAAGAAGAATAATCGTCCACTTTGGATTTTTTATCATCACTATTGATGCAACTGTGTTAAAATAAAACAAAGATGGCTACTCGCCCACTTTGGATTATTGTCACCACCTTTAATTAGATGCAAGTTGTAACTCTGTTTAAAAAAATACAAAGGTCAACGCTGAATTGCTAAGTTCGGATTGTTGTAATCATTTGAAAGAAAATACTAAACTTAACATTTGTTAGAGTAAATCTGTGCATGCTCTTGTTACTACTGAAACGTGAAACAATTTGGAAAAGATGAAAAGTATTAATTAAGAGAGCATGGACTACAATCAATGTTTCTAAATTCGATCCGGATCATTTCTGAATCACCGAATTACTGGATCGACCACGGGTGAACCGCAGATTAATACAGTTACTATTTTCATTTATAATTATATATTAGATATTAAAAACATAGGAGAAATTTTCAATTTGTACAAACATATAGAAAATATTTAAATTTGGTCTTTTATTTTTTTTTTTAATTTCATTTTCATTTCAGATATAAAATATTAAAATTATTTTTAGAAAAAATTGTAAAAAATTAGGATTTGAGCATAACGAAACTTAATCTCATTAGTTTTAGATATACATCCTTGTTCACTATATTTTATTTAGGAGGAATAATGAAATATTCATCAAAATCTAAATATCACAATAATAGTTTATTCGATATCATATATGATTCTATAAAGTTGAATAGGATCAATGAATTTGATTCACGAAAAACATTATTTATTTAAAAACATATAAAATTATTTAGAAACATATAAAATCAAGAAAACAAGATAAAACATGTGATTCACAAAAGAATACAAATGTTATTCACTAGCAGCGAAATCATCAAAAGGTTTAAAAGAAAGTTAAAGGAGATATAGAATATATTTGATAGCAAGGAAAACGATAATTTTATAAGAAACCCAAAAAAGTAAAGTAAAAAAACTTAATTTCTTATTTTAGGAATATATATAATATTTAATAAAGTAGTTAAAAAATTTAGAAAAAAAACTAAAAAAAAATTATTCACTTTCACCTGATGGTTCAACTGATAGTTGGGTCACCGAGTTTAAGGGAATTTAATGGGTTTTATCGAATTTTTAATTAGTGAATATTTCATAAAATCTAAATCGAATTACTTACTGAATCACTGGGTTTGGCGGTCCAACCACGGGTCTGGATCGGACATGAAAACTCTGACTATAACCTGCCGGATGATAATTTCTATTTCTAGCTGTCTAATAAGAGCATATTTTTAGTGGTTCAGTTCTCACTCGGAAATGGTTTATGTATTGTCAGATGATGGGTATTAAAATACATGAAATGTTTCCAACGGTTCATATTTTTTTGTATTTGTTTCAAACCATTATAATAGTTTTGTGATTAATTTGTTTATTGGATTTAACTAAAGTAAGAATGATTATTTCATTATTGTCTTCTATATGGTATTGCATTCACTTTCCCTTAGTTTAATTAAGTTTAGTTTTTTGTTAGTCTAATCATAATTGTTTATGGGGTTAAGTTATAGATTTGGATTGTATAAGTGTACCATTTAAAAATGTGGATGTTTATATGGCTTATTATGTTTTGTTGAGACATGTTGTGTGATGTTAGCTATTATGAAGTTTTGTTACGCATGGGTCAAGTGACTTTCTAATTTTTTGTCAGCTGAATTTGAGAGTTATTCGGTTTAGTTTTGAATTTTATTGAGTAGATGTATAACTGTGTGCTGGTCAGTTATCTAATGATGCTAGGAATATTTCATATCAATTGTTTATCGTTTATCTTTGAACTATGAAATTATATTACTGATGGTACGTAACTGAATATAAGTGTATTAATGTATGCACATGATTGTTGTGAGAGCCTATAACTTTTTAGAATCAAAGTCGAAGTAAAGAGGTAGACGTAAACCATGTAAATCTCTACAAAATATGTTGATATAAAATATAGATTGACACATCTGCTTGTAATAATAACATTAGATTTGATGCAAAAGTAGTAGTGACTTTTAATACGTCAGTTAGGTGGGATTTTGTTGTCATGAAAATTGTGTATGATTATTGTTGTAACATCAATAACATGGCATATACACGAGGGTTCAATTAGTTTAGGTTATTCGGCTCAGACATAAATCTTACTAAACTAACCCAAAATAGAGTATGGTTCTGTACTCTATTTGTTGAGTCTTTAAATTTATTCAAAAATTTTTTTTTCATTGTGGTTAGATTTTTGTTTGAAATTTGTTAAAGTGTAAGATAAATTTGGTTAATTTTGATTCGTTCGGTTAATTGGGTTTCAAATTTGATTAGTAGGGTTAGTTCGGTTTAGGTGTTTTGTTGATTTGGTTATATTTTTAAAAGAAAACTGAAGTAACTGAATGTCTAGAATATGTCTTGGCATTTGGATCTTCGGATGGGGTTCAGATCGGTTCCTGTCGGATCCAGTTTCTTTGGGTATAGAAAAATCGGATTCAATAGGTACTTCTGATTTTCGGTTAGGTTTCAGATCAGTTCTTACCGGGTCCAAATAATTTAGGTCAAAAATCAAAAAAATGTTAAAAAACTATTAATTTTGGATACTAATGGACACAGTTCTAAGTCAGTTATATTTTGGTTCAGTTTTCCGATTTTTGAGTATTTCAGATAAAATATAACTCAGACCCAATTTTTGCACAAATTTTTACCCGTATTTTTTAACATATATTGGTGAAAAAAGTTGTTAAATATTTAGAAAAGTTGTTAAATAATTAGAAAAAACAATATAAACCCATAACACTAACTTTACAAACATAAACAGCTATATATATAACTCAAATCAATTGTATTAGTTTTGAAAAATCCAATACAAGTTTCTTTTATAAAAATTTCAAATAATAAAATTGTATAATCTTAAATTACTAAAACCTAACAAATTTTAATAAATAAAGAATTCAAGCCTTAATCAAAAATAAAACCCAATAAAAATATCACAACAAATGATATTATGATAAGTGTTATTTTTTGCTCTTATGGAGATAAAAAGCTAATTTTATTACTATAATAATAAAGCGTGTATAAATAAGAATATTTGTCTTCTGAACTATTCGTTTTTAAGTCTAAATTGCTTCTGTTTAAGACCATTTGATCTTTGACAGAAAAAACAAGAAAAGTATCATTAAAATCTCGAACTTTCAAATTAAAGCTAATAAAACCTCCAATTCATGTTTGAGCTAAAAAAAAATTTCAACTTTCAAATATTGGCTGTTTTAATTCTCATATTTTGTTGACTAGACGATTTAAAAAATCTAAATAGTCAACTATTAAACTCGATTATATAAATATATGACTGTTAACTTTCTAAACGATGTTTTTTTTTTCTAAAAATAGTCAAATGACGTAGTTATGATTCCTTACACAATTAAAGCATTCGTTCGTGAAATCAGAAACTCAAATCGACTTCATCTTCTTCACTCGAAAATGAAGAAGATAAAATCAATTTGGAGTTCTGGTTCACGGAAAAAATGTCTTAAATGTTTTTAAAAGCTAAGATACATTGTTTGATTAATATTTAAACAGTTTTGAAACAATTTTGTTTAAAAAATTAACATACGTCTATTTTATTAATCATATTCGAATTTCTTAAGTAGCCGAATCAACAAAATATAAGAATTAAAATGATTAATATTTGAAAATTAGATTTTTTTTTGTTTTAATTTAAAAATTAAAGGTTTATTGACTGTTTTCTCAATAAAAAAGTATTAGATCCCTTATTTGTGTACTTGTAAAAAACCTAACGTAAGAAACGTAATGTCATCCGAAACGTGAGCCTCACTTAAATATTTCCTATTTTATAGAACAAATAGTATTATTCAACTACTTTAGTTTTCAAAATTTATTCAACGACTTTATTTTCAAATATTCTCTTGACAGAGAAAACATAACACATTGAAATGGTCCTTTGGTCAATGATCTTGTCTGCTTTCAAGAGCGTTTGAAAAGTACCCCATCTCCTGCGGCAGAATTCAAAAATGTCGTATAATTTAAACTAATAGCAAAAATAAGAGAGATTAAACATTCGAGGTCCCTTTATAAGTTTGTCTTAGGGCATCATTATTGCAAGGTTCTTAAGGTAAAATCCTTAATACACATATATGTATATGTATATATTGTATAAGCGTATATAATTATAGGTTAAGGATTTTACGGAAACCAAAGCCGAAAGTTTCTTAATTAAGGACTTTACCTTAAGAACCTTGCATAAGCGTATATAATTACAGATTAAAGACTTTACCTTAAGAACCTTACTCCATAAGTCACTTTCAACTCTTAGAGCACTTATTTTAACTAATCTCATTATGTCAACTAAATCATAATTTATAGGGCCTATTTTTCATTTCTCTTTTTCCTTCTTTCTTTTTCTTCTTTTTTAATTTTCACCTCTCTTTTCCTTTTTTTTTTATACAACTCTCTCTTCTTTCTCAATCTTACTTTTTTTTCAAGAAATCAATTTGATAAACAAAACAAAAACAAAATTCTTTAAGAATCATAGTGGTGCATCATATCACAACTCTTCTTTGTCGTGATATCTGGTCCTCATCTGTGACCGTCGATGAACCTCAGTTAAATTCAATTGTGGTTCGTCATTTCCATCTCCACGAATCAACACGACCAAGCTTCCTCTTCCATGTGCTCTGCAACTTGTTCACCTCGCTCTGGGAAAGTATTCTGTGGTGATTGTGATGCTAGTAATCCACCGCACTAACCAGCCACCATGAACTCAATCAACAATGGTTAAATCTCACTTTTTTATATTAGGTCCTTTAATTGTTCATTTATTCTCAGTTTGACCCAATACTATT